TAAAGAAGGTTTTTGACGCTTGATCAGTCTCCTTTCTTACTCGTAGCCCTCTTGTTCTCGACGTTTGATTAGACGATACCTAAAGATTTCTGGACTTTGCCCGCCAAAACCACATGCTGCTAGAGTGCTTTTAATCTGACTATTATCATGTGCCGACAAAATACTTGAAGATTCACTTTCAAAATTCCAGATTAACAACCTTTTCGTCAACTCAAGTCTCCTCGATCGTCTCTATCATAGCAGATCATTTTGTGGTTGAGAGACTGACAACGCTTGCCCATTGCGGCAGAGGCTTTAAAAGAGTCCGGCCTCTCTGGCGATCTAGCTAAGTGAAGAGACAGCAGTAAGACTTACTTCTTGAAGCCTATAACCCTTAAAGCATCTGAAATAATCTTCTAACTTACCTCGACGCGCTGTGCTAACTGAATGAGCTACTGAGCCGTACAGGTGTTTTGTTCAGCTCGCTCGAAATAGAAGCCATTATGAGTACCCCCTACCAACCCGGTATGAAGTGGACCCCAAGAAATCTGACCAGAAAATACCCCTTCTGGTTAAAGGCTGTTGGCTCGAAACGTTTAATTGGCTTAAATATGTAAAAATTAGGCTGTTCCCAAATGAACAGAGTTTCGACTGAGGGGGAAGAAACGTTCATAGGACCGAAGTAATTACCCGAGTCGACACTGCATGCAGGGGTTTTGCTTTACCTTGAAGGTGGGCATTCGCCCAGTCTTTTTCCCATAGGATTTTGAACTCAAACGTACATGTATGAAGGAAGACTTGGCACGGAAGAACACTTTTCGAAGCTTGTGGTGGAAACATGCCTGTGGTGATTACAATGTAACAGTCTATGAACATCCCTAAAAACGGCCTTAACAGAAGTATGGCACCACAATTAACGAAATGCACAATTAAATACACTATGAATAAATAGACTTGTGAGAAATTAAGTGTGGTACCACTGGTAAACGTGATGGCCTTTTTATCATTACTAATACTTCCGATATTCAAGTGATATTTAAGTACTCTCACATTGTAGTCCACATCTCTGATTAACATGTGACTTGGTCAAACTTTAGAAACCTGCATTTTTCGTCTTCAGTATGTTTGACAGTGTTTTTTGTTTTACGAAGGTGGAATTTTCGTGGACGGAGCGAATCAGTTGGCTGTGATACTCCAGGTAAGATGGAAACAAACGGTTCCCAACACACACACACTAACGTAGAACGTGGGAAGAGATGAGGAGAGTTTATTGTCTATCGATAAAGAAACACACGATGTGCAGAGGGGTGGAATGGGG